ATACTAAGGACATGGCTCGGTGCAGCAGGCCTGTAGGTAAGAGAAGTCTCTAGAAGTGTTTCCTACAACTACAGATTGTAGATCCCACCTTCAGTAAACAATTTTTGGGCTCCAGATGGATATCTCTGGGTGTCCTCATTTGATACGGCTGAGTGGCTGGGAGTCTGCTGGTTGTGTGTGTGCTAAGTGCACATAGTGACAGGGAAAGGTCAAATGTTTATTCTTCACAGTGGTGATTCTGAACAGAACATGCAGATAGAACTGAGTGTGGACTCCAGAGCTATGTATCGTGAATTAACTTAGAGAGTGGACACAGATGATGTTCTTATCGATTTTTCTCAGTTTACGGAGCATACTAGGTTTAACTTAAGAGTAAACCACCTCTACCTGTGCCAAGCATTTCTGTGTGGCTATTAAGTTGTTTCAATTCTGAGGTACTTTATCACTGTAAACTTTAGAATCCTAGAGTGTTAAAACTGCAGGCCTGGCTGAGCGTGGTAGCATATGCTTTTAATCCCAGCACTCAGGCGGCAAAGGCAGGTGGATCTTTGCAAGTTCAAGGTCTATATAGTGAGTTCTAGGCCAGCCAAAGCTATGTAGTGAGACCCTATCTCAAAAAGAAAATAAGACAAGGCTGTAGAAATTGCTCAGTGGTTAAGAACACTGGCCATTCTTTCAGAGAACCTGGTTCAGTTCCCAGCATCAACATGGCCGCTCACAACTGCTACAGGGGATCCAACTTTTCCTGACCTCATGGTCACTAGGCCTGCATGTGATATACAGTTACACATGCAGGAGAAATGCCCATACACCTTGAAAAAAGTAAGTTAAATTTAGTTTTGGTTTTTTTTTTATGAAAATAAGGACTGGAGAAATGGGCTCAGCAGTTAAGAGCACTGACTGCTCTTCCAGAGGTCCTGAGTTCAATTCCCAACAACCACATGGTGGCCCACAACCATCTGTAGTGGGATCCAATGTTCCCTTCTGATGTGTCTGAAGACAGCTACAGTGTACTCATTTGCATAAAATAAATAAATCTTTTTTAAAAACGAAAATAAAGATGGTAAAATATAAGGTGTACCATGATCTGTCTTTTAAAATACCTTTTCTTGTTGAACATTCTGCAGATATAAGTTGTAGCAAATTTTAGCTTGCCTTCAGTTTTCTCTACAAAGTAGGATTATATATATATATACATATATATGTATATATATGCATACATATATGCATATATATATATATATATACACACACACATGTGTGTGTGTGTGTTAGAATTCTTTCTACATCATGGTGTATTACTTCTGCAACAAGAGAAAGCAATAAAGATTTATTAAAAGAAAATTTTAAGATTCAAGAAATAAAGCCTGCTTCGTTCTCCTGTCTTCTTTCTATCAGTCTTTGCAAATGCAGGCTGGTGGCCTGAGCTGAGGGGACAGGAGCAGTGACAGAGCTAGGATAGAAACAGGAAGGAGATGGAGTGTGGGCCACACAGACCCTCATGCACAGAGATGTCAGGAGAGAGTCATGTTCTGAACTGTGGATTCAGAAGGCCTGGCAGGACAGATAAATGTTCTAGAAATGCCAGCAATCTGAGAGGTAACCTATACTTTGCGCCAGTGGCCTTCTACAAACATCCTGCTTTCCTCAGCCTCAGTTTCCTGATTTATGGGTGCTGGGATGCAGAGTATTAGTAAGAAAGCAAAATTAAAATGATGTCTACGGCTGTGAACCCCCTAGGATGACCTTACAGCTACACCCAGACAAAATATGTCTTTAGCGAGTGTGAGAAGCCTATTTACAGCCCGAGGAGTCTGGACGGCCCTTGTAGAAACCTGATTACTCTGTTTATGACGACTCAGACAGCCAAGGAGAAGCCATGGCCCTGTCAAATAGCTCAGCCTAAGTGAAAAGCAACACCCATCCCTAGGGACCCTGAATAGAGTGACAGGGGCTGAGGACACACACAAATCACACGCCACTAACAAACATGGCGTGCAACTGTCTCTCCGAGGTCCCATCTCTATCAAAATAAACATGGGGAAGAGAGACTCCAAATCTAGCAGAGACAAGGCCAGTTTAGATTCAGCCCAGCTGCTGCCAGGCTGCTACCGCTTCCGCAGCCAGCTTCTGTGGCAGTTTTAGATTTTGTGGCAGTTTGGGTATGTTGTACACTATCCCTCCTCCAGCCCATGTCACTTTGTCCAATCCTGCTTAGAAAGAGAGCTTTCAGAGTAGCAATGGGTTTTTGTTGTTGGTCCACAAACAATCGTGCTCCTGCTGGGACAGCATCTTGGCTACATTCGGCCTTGTTCAACAGTGTAAGCTCCACATAAATGGCCTCAGAAGGAAAAGACCCCCAGTATAAGCCTCAGGCATGATTGCAGAGAGAAATACACCATAGCGCATCGCCTTTGCAGGTCTCTGCAGGGGTCAAAAGTCCATGATTGCTCTGAGGGGCTGCCCTGAGCATTCTCAGAGCCTGTGAAATAGTTCTCTGTGGCAGCTCAGCTCCTCAGCAGCAGCTAAGCTCCTCAACTGATGTCAGCAGTTTTGCATTTCAGGTTTCCCCAAAGAGAGGTGCATGCCTGCCTTTGATTCCACTCGCCAGAACGGGCCAACGGGCCATCAGCACTAGACAGAAGAGCGCCACTAATGATAACATACTGGTAATGTAGGAACTGGTGGGAGTCCCTGATCCCCCAGATATCCTCCAGGACGTCATAAAGCTTATAATGATAAAACCAGTCACAGGAAGCTTCTCACCTGCTAAGGAATCTACAGAAAGGTGTGGTGCTCCCAGGTTCCGGATGCCTGTGTCATCTTGGGAAATGTGCTGCAGTACAGAAGAACTCAAGTGTCCCACAGTACTGGAACAGTACATGGTGCTTTGTTCCATGGCTGCCTAAGGCTAGGTAGATCCCTGTCACATCTAAGGTTGTCTCAGCTCTTCTTCCTCTTCCTCCTCCTCCTCTTCTTCCTCTCCCTCCTCTCCCCCCTCCTACTCCTCCTGAGGAGCTTAGGGGTGGAGTGTAGGGAGAAGGAAGAGAAATTTACTAAGGAAAAGAATCACTGTAAGAAGTCCTTTGAGAATCTGGAAGCAGGACTTTGTGGCTCCATGACGAGGTGTGGGGCTCCCAGGTTCAGGTTGCTTGAACCTTAAACCACCTCCATTTTCCAACACTGTTACCTCAGGAAAGGTACCAAGTCTCTCTCGGCCCAGTTTCTTGACGGTACAATCAGGGTAATAATAGTACCTATTTATGGGGCTGTCCGGAAGACTCAATGAGCTAATATTATGCAGAAAAGCTAAGAACAGATTAAACATAGCAGAAATGTTAACTGTAGTTTGTGGCGTCTGGGATCTCCATCTCCTGCCAGCTGTCTATGCAGAAAGCATAATGTTTTATAAGCTTCTCACCTCGAGCCATTTAGGAGAAGCGGTACTCAGAGATTTGTTTGGATTAACACAGAATGTCAGAACCATCATCCCTGCACATCGTCACATGACTTATGTTTGCCTGGCTTGCATAGTGCCTCCACGGGACCTCAAATCACCCAAGGAGCAGATACGACAGACAGGCAGGCCAGTGTAAGGAAAACGTTGGCACAGAAACCTGGGCAGAGTCGCAGCTCGCAGCTAGCACAAAGTGTTTTTTCTCAGCATTCTAGGTAGAAGGACTTATTACCCAGTAACAACCGTTAGTTCTGTGGGTCCTAACTAGTCAAAACATTATAACAGACACTATCCATGTAGGTGATAGATATTCGGTGGTCTGTCCCACACTGTGGGACTCTGCCTTGGGCACTGGACTAGGAAGCCATGTACAACATGCCAGGATGTAAGGTATAATACAAATAAGTTACAAATCATCTGGAAACTTAGAAGTTTTCCTACCTCTCAAACTCGTCGTTTGGAAAGTTACTGTCCATATGTCCATCCATAAAGGAATGGAGTTTTAGAGAAGTAAAATGACCTGTCTGTGACCACACCGCTGTCAGCTTCAGCACTAAGACCTGAATTTAGGTCTCCGACTCCAAGGCCACAGACTCAGTGGTCAGTGCTGGAGGGCAGGGACGATGTGTGGAACAAACTCAGCACTGCCCTGCCCATGGCTCCCACAGCCTTTCTAGTTGCCCCCCAAGGGGCTCAGATGATACCAGCTCTCATCTCATGCCCAAAGCTCAAGGAGATGTCAGTGCCAGGCTCTGACCCCAGACTACCTGTCACCCAGGCCAGCCTCCCCCAGCCTGGGTCAGAGTGAATGGTAGAAACCACAAAAGTAACTGTGACTAAAATATGAACTTCCAGATCAGCACTCTTTCCTAAAGGGCTCCTACTCAACATCGTGAATAAACAGACGTGGGGGGATAGAAACCCGGGTCAGGGAGGCCTCCTGCTCGGCCAGGCCTGCCCCTTACTCCCCAGTCTAGACGTTGCACTGTCCAGCTTGCTTTTCTGGTGTTCTGTAGAGATGTACCAACACATGGAGGGGGCAGCCCCTGGAGGCCTGCCCAGCAGAGCTTGTGAAAGAAGAGAGGGAGGCCACGGCTGCTCCCTGCACAGATTAGAAACCCAGCAGAGCTTGTGAGAGAAGAGAGGAAG